CGTAGCCACCATGAATATTTCTGAAATCTTCTACCACTCTACCGACATGTCCATTTAAATCTCCTCCAATAAAAATTCTTTCTTCAAGAGGTATCATTTGTATTAAGTCTTCTAAGTCATTCCAAAATTTATCTTTAGACTCTGTATCTAAACCTACTTGAGGAGCATAACCACTTATAATATTAAAAATCTTAGTATCAATGATAATCTTAAGGGCTATAATTCTATCACCAACTCTATTAATTTTTACAACATTATCTTTCAAACTCTTATCTATAATTACACCTACACCATTTCTAGTGCGACTCTTACCAGAATACCAAAGTTTAAAACCTAAATTATCAATCTCCTTAGCCTTTTCTCCCACCCACTTAGTTTCTTGAATACATAAGATATTAATTTTCCTATGAATCATAATATCAACTAATTCCATTAATTTACCATTGAGAGTGCCTATATTCCAAGATCCTATCCTAATATTAGTTTCATTAGTTTCATGGACTAACTTCTTTACCCGCATTCGCCCGTAATGTGGGAACCCTTGCTTATTTAACACTACACCCGGGCGCCGGTGTAGCGGCCCTTGCACACTTTTCACTGTATTCAGGCTATACAGCGCGTCGCTTCTAGGGGACGCCCTAGCACTTACACAATGATCAAAAGGATTCATGTCATGATTTTTTCGACAAGTTTTACGCTGGCTGTCGACTACCTAACGCAACCCTCCACTTTTCTCATCCGGGCTTGGGACCGGCAATGGCGGTGTTCAACTAGAATACCTAATTAAATGAAGCAGGAAAGTTTAAGCTATTAAAAAGTCCCTCTCCTTGTAATAAAATTAGTAGCTAGTGTAGGTGTAGAACAACTAGAATACCTAATTAAATTTGTGACAAATAGAAGCATTAATTTTCTTTACCCTTTTCAAAATGCATAAAGAAATTAGGTTAACTAAGGAAATATTTATGCCTGTCACCCTAGAAACCTCCTAGTTACCCCCCCATTAAAATCATCTCCTCATCTATTTGCACTGATCTGCGGACTACTTTATCTTCACCCTAAACGATGTAGTTCTTACTAGTTGATTGAAGCCATA